TTATAGTGATAAAATAACAAAACATCGTATTCTAACAAATTTTTAAGTATACAGTTCAACAGCATTAAATGTATTCACACTTTTGTGCGGTCATCACCACCATCTCAAGAACTTCATCTTCTCAAAGGGAAATTCTGTAACTGTTAAACTCTATCTCCCCATCTCCCCAAACCCCCAGACCCTGCCAAACACTCTTCTGCTTTTTGTCTCTATGAATCTGACTCCTCTAGGTACCTCATATAAGTAGAATCATACAATATTAGTCCTTTTGTGATTGGATTATTAAAATAATATTGTGATGTTTTCACAATTACAGAAACTTATTGAGGTGATTACATTGTAAGATGTATAAATGTAGACTCATATGGTTTACCTGAAACTAATATAATACTGTATACCAAACTAAAATAAAAAATAAAAGTGAATAAAAAAAGAGAAATCGTATCTTCAAAAGTGGCACAGAGGTGTTCCAAAGACACTTTATGAATGCAGATTTCTTCCTATTCAGGACTGATGTGATCAGAATGAACAGTTGGTCTATCCAGATGCCTAGTAATGTAAATGAACTGCCCTTTTCTTAACAGAAGTAGTACAAATTAAATGCAGACTTTGCTATTTTCTCGTATTCTACAACAGGAAGAAAACCACACCAGTTTTTTTTTTTTTAAAGATTATATGAAATAGGGAATTTATATGATCCATATTTTATAACTAAAGAGACATCTGATCCCACTTAAAGCCACTTGAAGACTTATAACAAATGATATATTAGTATTTCAGCTTCTGTTTAGGTTTTTATAGTTTGGGATTTAGGTTTGTTTTGTTTTTAATGCCATATTCATGAGAGTTCTTTTTTTCCCCCCTTTCATACTTTAAAGATCTCATTTCTTTACTAAAGAAAAAAATCACTATTTGATCAGCAAAATGAATAACCAACAAGTCAACAAAGAACAATGGCAGCCACCAAATTAAATGACAGTCCATGCTTTTACTGTGGTTTCCAACACTAAGGAAGCAAAAATCTTCAGATTATTTTTGGTTTTCTTTTTACTTTCGAACTTATAAAACAACATAGTAAACAATACAACAAAGGGTGAAGTAAGACGCATTTTTCAAAACCGATCCAACTCAATTACAATGAATTCCACCACCTGATACTGTGACGGAATGTGCTTTTACTCAAAGACATCGGGTTTATGGGCCTTGAAAAAAATCATGATGGCTCTCATATAACCAACACCAAAATGTGTGAAAGAAATGTTCTTTAACTTTTCATTATTAACAAAACTAGTGTTAACAAACACACAAAAGTTCATGAAATAGTCATTCCTTGAATACGTAATATATACTCAGGACTGCATTATATTGTGAAAGATATGAATGAGCTCTAGACAGTATGGTTCCATGAGAAGAAATCTAGGTCCACAATCATAGAAAAATTCACTTGATGTATGTGCCAGACACATTACAAACATGGCTCTATGGAGTTTTGAAAAATACTTTTAAAATCATAGGTATAGATGACCTCATTTGACAGTCGAGAAAAATCGATGTTTAGAGATGTTTTGTAATTTGCCCAAGAAAACTTAGGATATTATTTGGAAATTTTCTTGGTATAGACTTTCACTGCAAAATCCTTGAAGAACTAAGTAGGATTTTTTTTAAAATCCATATTTTTTGAAATCCTATATTTGAAAATATATTATGTTTTTGCAAGTTTATGTAAATTGTAATAAACAAAACATCCCCAAATTATATTTATCTATTTCACATTATTATATTTTGCATATTATTTAAAAGATGTAGTACAATGTATCATTTCCGATATATTTGTGAAATCATGGATCGGTAAAAAATAGATAACTTCAAACCAGTAAAAAGAATAATTCCACATTGATAATAAATACTCTTAGGCATAAATGCTTATTATTCAAGAATAACTCTGGGAAACGCATATGTGTACATCTTTGGTAACCCTGGTGTTCACAGGCCTGGAAGACATATACCCAGCCATGTCTGTTCTTTTCATAGATGCCGCATCAAAGGATCCCAGAGAGAAAGAAAAAGCCTCCATCCTGCTTCCTCCCTACCTTGCCAGTAGGTTCTCCCACCTGTATTCTGAGTAATTTATAAACTAGATGAAGGACTCAAACTAATCACAATGGTACGAGAGATAAGGTAGAATAGGATCTTCCAGATAGTACTCAAAGGAGGAGGTGTTGTATGCTTTTCAAATAGGATAGGAAGAGTCTACTGAGGGCTTCTTGAGAAGATGGATTTTGAAAGAAATACTTGACATATTCCAGTAAAGGTATGAGGAGAGCATTTTATGTATAATAACATAAGTCTGATTTAAAAATAAGGAATTGAAAGATAGGAGAAGAATATCTGGAAATAAGGATTTCTGTTAATCTATAAGACATGGATTAGGAAAAAGTAATATTCAGATTATGGGGAAAAACAATATGTATCTCTACCATATTATTATTTTTTAAATGTTTTTATTAATTTTTAGAGAAGAGAAAGGGAGAGTCAGAGAAAGATAGAAACATCAATGATAAGAGAGAATCACTGATAAGCTCCTTCCTGCACACCCCACCCTGGGGATTGAGCCCACTACCTGGATATGTGCTCTGACCAGGAATCGAACCATGACCTCCTGGTTCATAGGTCAACACTCAACCATTGAGTCATGCCGGCTGGGCTCAATCATATTATTTAAGCTACATTAAACTTCATAAAAATTATTTAAATTACTTCCAATAAAAATAATTATTGTGAAAGAATTAGACAGCAAGTTATTTTATTAAATGCAGTCAATTTAATATGTTTAAAACTGCTAGGCTACCTATTTTATTAAACATTTTTGAATAGTTTTACTTTTGCCTACTATGTATATTATAAGTGATCACAAACAATTACTGAGTAAATACAGGGGTGGGGCAAAGTAGGTTTATTTTTGTTCATATGAAAAATAATATAATAATAAATAATAATACAAGAATAAAGTCTGTGTTTCATGTACTCAACATTGTAAACCTACTTTTGTTTCACCCTGTACATAACTGTATAACACTTTTGAGAAAAATATGCAGTCATATAACTCAAAACATATTATAAGTACATTTTTTCATTTATTACAAAGACTTATAAAAGTTAACACATAACAACAACAATAATAGAACCTTATAAAATATTTAATATCCTAAGTTAGAAATAATAAGTGTCGGTGGAATACAGACAGAACAAAATCCTTTCTTTTTAGATGCTAAGGTAGACTAAGAGTCTAGAGTTTGAGTTAATACAGCAAGATTGATTTTGATGCCTTTTCTTTTCATCTCTAAGGAGACTGGTACATACATTTTCTCATCACCCTAAACACTAACTTGCAAATAATATGCCACATGTTCAACAGCCTGTGAAAAATTGAATTCATACCATTTCTTTGGAAGCAAAATTAATAAACCCTGTTTTCATAATATTTGGTTTTGATTGCATAGTCTTAGTCTGGAGGCAAAGTTGAAAATGATTTAGAAGCAAGAGTCTAGGAAAAGTCCAAATCCAATTTGTGTTCTCTAATTACAGGCTCAATGCTCTCCATGATTTTGTTTAAAAAGGCCACCTCACTAAGCAGAATGGATGAACCATTCTTTCCTAAAGAAAGCAAAAGTCAAGACGAATTCAACTTTTGTCTAATAAAGAAGCAAAGGTAAAATTCTCTCCTAATTCATTGCTAGTTTCACCTGATATTATTTTACAAAGACAAAGAACTATTTTGCTACGTTTTTTCCCCCCTCTAAACTAGCAACAAAACAGATTTGGAGAAATTTAAGTTAATCATAATCTATCACCCATAATCCCACCGCCTCAGTAAACATTATTGTTTTGCTTAATATTGCCAGTAATTTTGTAGGACAGACAACCAAAGTATTGAAGAGTATCATCCATGATTTAGAGTCACTACTGCTATCCACAGGCCCCAAATGCTGAATCCAGAAAAGGCAATTAGAGGCTCTCCTTTGTGTGTAATGACCACATGATGGTTGCTTTTATCAACTAGAAATTGAGCGATTAGGTGACAGGAACCATGTCTTTTTTTTTTTTTTTTTTTTTCTTGCAGTACCTGAATACCTAGTGCTTTTGTAAGTTTATAAGAGATATGAAGTGTGTGATCTGCAGTGTATGAGTATTCATTCCTAAAAGTTTTGCACATTATACTTATATGTGAAATAGGGACAGAATTTAGAATAATCTTGGCTCTACCCTACTTGTCAATGTCAGTATCATAAAAGTGACTGGTTTGGAGAAACAACAAATAATATGTTACAGGAAGCATTCCAATTTTTCAGTAAGAACTAAGTCATGAAAGAGAGACTATATTGACTTCATAAATAATATAATGCAACCCTTAAGAGTATTGGATTCCAAGACATGAAGAAACATGATCCATAAACATAGTCAAATAACTTCAACAATATTTTCTCCCTCCAAAAAACATAGAAAAATCCTTAATAAGATACCAACTCTGAGATCCCATGGGGTGCTTATAGCTGAAGCTTAGACACAGTGGACCTATCAGTGAATTCAGTCCTGCTCAACCAATGTTGCTAAAGCCTTAAAGAACAGATAAATTAAAACATGTTTTGCATGGGAAAGTTTCCCCCAGAGTTCCTCATCTTTATATAGGAAATCAATTTGCATCACTGATGATACCATTCATACCAGACAACCCAAAGTTGTTAAAAGATAATTTAGTTTTATGCTGAAAGCAATTTGGTACTTGTTCTAATTTGTGAGTTTCATTTTGTTTGTTAATGAAAAAAATTAATGAGCAATGGTACTAGAAATACAACTCTTCAAAACCTCGGCAACGTTAAGGAGGTTTGCCATGTACTGTACGTCATGACTTGGTGCAGCAGGTGCGTGGACCTCCACCTGGGAGGGGTTCTCAATTGAACAGCATAGTTCAGAACAAAAGGTACAGATGCCCTCACACATACCTTTGCACTGATTTGTGTTCTTGTCAAGAATTGCCTTTGTCGATACAATTTTCCCATACCTGAAAGAGAGAGAGAGAAGAAAAAAAAACACCAGTTATCATAGCCCAATGAAGACACTTAACAACACTAATTACCATGGGTGTACACACAATGGAGCAGGAATAAACCAAGGAAAAAGCTCTGAACATTTCACACCTGGATGATCTCTTTCCACCAGTTCTTCTCTATAACTGGAGAATATGCTTCCCTACATAATCACTGGGTAGAGCCTTCAAAAATAAACTTGTTGGGCTGTCATAGGTGTCTGAGAGGGGATTGCCTGTGATTGTAATAAAAGTAAATTGCACTCCATGGATGCTTGGAAAAGCACAGACCTAGCGCCAGGCTGAACAGGGCTTGCATCCAGCTTTGGTGCTCACCTAGTGTTGCAACCCTGAGCAGTTAAGCACAGCTTCCCCAGGCCAGTGTTTTTATCTCTAAAAATGAGAATTGTAATGATCACCTTTTAGGATTTGGTAGAGTGTTGAGATTGTCTATCAGTGCTCATAGGGTAAATAAAAATAAATTTATTTATTAGTTGGTTATTTTACTACTAAAAACATATTATGTTGTAAGTTAATTAAGGATAAGGACTGAGTTTTGTATTCTCAATGCCTGCCACAAAGGCAATAGAAGTTAAATAAATGCTTGTTATAAATAAGTAAATTATTCAATGGTACTTCTTTTACAACAATGTACTTACCAGATATTCATTATTTAATCATCTCTTGCAGATGATCTACTTTAGGCTTTGTCTTAAAAATATGGCTTACATGAAGAATAAAATTCAATCTCTTTGAGCTGTTTCATGTGGTATAACTGATGGGAGTACAGAAAGTGATTTCCTAAAACCCTGTTCTTCTTAGGATTCCATGAAGGGTGATTCTGACTCAACAGAATAACACGAAGAAGCTATCACACAAATTCAGTGCAGTGCTTAATTACTACATCATGCTGCCTTTAAAACAGAGAAGATACAAATATCAAATCTTCTAGTTCAATCAATCTTTATTTATTGGGAAACCAAGGCAATATAGTGTTGAGTTAAAATAATATACTGTGACAACAATCTACCATGGCTTGAATCTCAATTAAGCACCAATATATTTGGTTGGTAAAACCTTATGTGTTCTTTGTATCATTTCATTATTTATGATAATATGAATCTATTTTTAAATATCTACTTAATTATTTATTTAAATTTATATGCATCTATTTAAATCTATAGCATGATGACACTGGTCTTTACCTCACAGGGTTATTCTGAGCATTAAATGGGGTTACCGAAAGTACTGGTAACAGTGGCTGGCATAGAGTAAGTCTCACTATGTATTAGTTCTTCTTGCAATGACTTTCTTCCTATTATCTGCTAGATAAAATGTCCAGTCTTTGAAATTCTCTAAGATGGGTAAGATGTGAATGGAGGTAAAACTATTATCCCAAATGGCAGTTTAAAACATTACTACTTGTTTAAGTCCTTTATCCATTTTGAGTTTATTTTTGTGTATGGTGTAAGTTGGTGGTCTAGTTTCATTTTTTTTTTTTTGCATCTGTCCAATTTTCCAAACACCATTTATTGAAAAGACTGTCTTGACTCCAATGTATGTTCTTGTCTCCTTCGTCAAATATTAATTGAGTATAGTGGTTTGGGTCAATTTCTGGGTTCTCTATTCTATTCCATTGATCTATATGTCCATTCTTGTGTCAGTACCAGGCAGTTTTGAGAACAGTGACTTTGTAATACAGATTGATATCTGGTATTGAGTTCCTGCCTACATTGTTCTTTTATCTCAGGATTGCTACAGCTATTCGGGCTCTTTTTTATTCCAGATGAATTTTTTTTGAGTGTTCGTTCTAGGTCTGTGAAATATGCCGAGAAACCATAAAAATATTAGAAGAATCCACAGCAGCAAAATCTCAGACATATGCCAAAGCAATATCTTCACCAATAAGCTCCTAGGGCAATGGAAACTAAAGAGAAAATAAACAAATGGGACTACATCAAAATAAAAAGCTTCTGTGTAGCAAAAGAAACTATCAACAAAACAAGAAAGCCCATTGCATAGAAGAACATAGATGCCAATTTTATCACCAATAAAGGTTTAATCTCCAACATTTTCAGGGAACTTATACAACTTGATAAAATGAATATAAACAACCCAATAAAAAAATGGGCAATGATCTCACTCATTTATGGATAATAAAGAACATTATAAACTGATGAACTAAAAGATAGATATAGAGACAGTAAAGCAACAAGCAGACTGTCAAATTACAACAGGGAGGGTAGGGAGATCTGGGGGAGATAATAGATCAACCGAAGGACTTGTATACATGCATATAAGTACAACCAATGGACACAAAATTCTAAGGAGAGAGGGTGTGTATGGGAGGGGAAGAATGGTAAGATATGTACACAGATAATAATTGAATTTAAAAAATGGGCAATGGACCTAAATAGATACTTTTCAAAAGAGGACATAAGGAAGGCCAAGAGACAAGTGAAAACATGCTCAAAGTCACTAATCATTTGAGAGATGCAAATCAAAACGACAATGTGGTACCATTCACCTGTCAGAATGGCTATCATAAATGAATCAACAAATGACAAGTGCTGGTGAGGATGCAGAAAAAAAGGGACTCTCTTGCACTGCTGGTGTGAATGTTGACTGGTGTACCACCATGGAGAGCATATGGAGTTTTCTCAAAAAAACTAAAAATGGAACTCCCACTTGACCCAGTAATCCCACTTTTAGGAATATATCCCAAGAAACTAGAAACACCAATCAGAAAGGATATATGCACCCCTATGTTCATAGCAGCACAATTTACCATAGCTAAGATTTGGAAACAGCCTAAGTGCCCATCAGCAGATGAGTGAATTAAAAAGCTTTGGTACATCTACACAATGGAATATTACATTGCAGTAAAAGAGAAGCAATGCATGGATGGAACTAGAGAGTATTATGCTAAGCAAAATAATCCAGTTCTAGAAAAATATATATCACATAATCTCACTCATTTATGGAATATAATGAACAACAAAAACTGATGAACAAAAACAGATCCAAAGACAGAGAAGCATGATTAGACTTTCAAACCTCAGAGAGAAGGTAGGGGAGGGAGGATGAGGGTAAGGGAAAGAGATCAACCAAAGGACTTATATGCATGCATATAAGCCTAACCAATGGACACAGATAATAGGGGGGTGAGAACATGAGTGGGGTTTGGGAGGACAATGGAAGGATAAGAACACATATATAACACCTTAATCAATAAAGAAAAAACATAAATATAAGGCATTACTACTTGCTCTACCAAAAACTTCCCTAAAATATTTGACAGGTCAAGTTATTTGCTAAAAGGATAGTTTCCATTTACAGTCTATATTGTTATTTTTAATGTTAATTACTTCATTAATTAGATTTTCATCATATTTAATTGCACAAATGCCTATAGGTTCAAAAATTTGGGGGGTTGATTTAAGTCTACTGAAAGGTCCATTTCCTCATGGTATAATCATATAAGCTCACTCACTCCAAAATTCCTCATCTCTACACTTTCTCATCCCCCAAAACACATACATCCTATTTTTAAGCTTTATTTCACCCCAAGAGTTTCTCTTTTAGGAAAATAACCTGTAAAATAATATCCTATTAGAACAGTCTCTTTAGTTGCCAATGGTTCAAAGTATCTATAATTAGATCCATTAGCTAGTGTAATGTTTGCTAGATTTTGGTTATACTCGAGTAAACATTTGCAAAACTATATGTATCTTACCATAGACAACTAAAAGGGAAAGAAAGGGAACATAGACTGAAACATTTTTCCCCATACAAAACAGCACTAGTATAGTATGGGAGAACTGAAAACTAGGAATAAAATATTACAGAATAGTTATAACCATCTCACATCAAACACACAAACTCTTAAGATAGAAATCCTTCTTAATTGGTTACTAAAACTACTCCTGATTTTTTTTTTATTTAAGTACCTTCTATTAATTAAAATTTATTCCTGTCTCTTAAAGAGGAAATTAAAAATTACTACACCTTATAACGAATAACATTTCACAATGAGACTTTTAACCTGTGATGTGCATATTTTCCTACTGTATCATTATTACAAAGATGTCTTCTCCATTACATGTAGTGTAATTAAAAGTGGTTAAACATTTTTAGAGCCAAAAATAAAATAAAATACTTTTGTGTGGAAAGCACTTGTAGATACCTAAGCAAGCAACTTTTTTCTTAAATAAAAGCACAATTATTTCCCAGAAAGTGTTACAATACTACTAAAAATTAAAAAATTGTGCGTGTGCACATGTGCACACACACACATACCCAAAAAAATAAATTCCTATTTTTTAAATATATGTTTATTGATTTTGAAGAGGAAGAGAGAGAGAGAAACATCTATGATGAGAATCATTGATGGGCTTATGCCCTTCTGGTAATCAAACCTTGACCTCTTGGTTCATAGGTTCATAGGTCAACCACTGAGCCATGCCAGCTGGGCAAAATTATGATATTAATTGATTTCCTAATATATAATTACACTCTAGGCAAGCCTTTCCATAGTTCAGAATCACCAAAGAAGGAGACACAGCTCAGAGTATATTGCTGAGCCGCTACTCTGACAGGAGGTATAGAAATTTCATTCTTTTGCTTAGTTATAACATTCTGCATTAACAATTATTTCACCAAGCTAGAATGTGCTTTAAAGAACAAAAAGAGGTATTTTATGGGCCATGGATTTCAGTCCATGTCTGTATTCTCTCTCGACAAACAGGTACTTTTTGCATCGCTGGTGCTGCTTTCTCCAAGTTCCACAAAATCAACAACTGAGGTAGGTAAATAAAGTTTAGACATTTTTTAATGACACAAAAATCACTGATTTAATATTCTGGTGAAGAATTAGGTTAAATTTTTCTTCCCAACATTTTGTTAAAATATACTAATTGACTAGAGTAAAAATTACTTCATTAAAGATACATTTTTTTCACATTCGGAAGGAAATA